AGAGAGCGCCCCCAGCACAAAGCCACACAGTTTATATACCTGCAGCGACCAATCAAAAGCACCATAGAGTCCATGCACACAGCAGTCCAATCCATGAGCTGATCATGTGAAGTGCATGCGTCTTCTGTCCAATCAGCTATGGGATCACATGGGAGGCATGCACACAGCAGTCCAATCCGTGAGCTGATCATGTGAAGGGCATGCGTCTTCTATCCAATCAGCTACGGGATCACATGGGAGGCATGCACCTCGTCACCATTTTGTTGTTTACTTCTTTAGTAGTTCCTTTCCCTGCCAGCGCCATCTTGTTCACCCTGAGGGGGACGACGTCTCGCTCCCTTTGTTCCCCTGGTGGGAGAGCGGCGTCCTGCTTCCCACACTGTTATTTGAGTATTAGGGGGCATACAAACTGGGTTAGGTCTTAGCACAGCCAGGCACAAGTGTCACAGCTAGCTAAGCATAGGGTCCCTTACTTTTATAGCTGCACCTAATTTTAGCTTTGGGGGAAAAAGTTTAGGGCTATAATTTTTAAACTTTAATTTTATTTGGGGCAAAGGTAACTTCTTGTTTTTAATGGTATTAGCTTAGGTCACTCCATCTTGGTTTGATTTTTAAGGTTCTTCAGGTTGAACGAAATTACGTCCTTGTCCAACGTGGAAACTCCCCGCCTTTACTGCTGACAAGATGGCGTCTTGTCCCAGCCCGTTGCTGGATACATGCACAAGAGGTTCTGCAGCTGCTGCTCTTATCTTAAATGGCACTGCCCTTTCTCAGCTGGTTGCCAGGCACCATTGTGGGTGGGGGAGAGAAGAGTACCCTTTTCTTTTTTTTTTTCTACTGGGTTAGAAAACCCTCAGGGCTGTAGGCTGGATTCATGCCATGCTCTCCCTCCAGCTGTATCACCAGTGGCACAGGCTGCTGCAATCTGATCTCACCTCATTCTACAAAGCTTGCGTTTTCTCCTGCTGTCTCAGCTGCTGGGGTTGTGTGTTGTGTCTGTGTTTGTGCTGCACATCTGCACCTTCCACACCAATCCATGGCATTCCTCTTCCTTCCATAGAATTTCTGTTGTGGTTTTCTCTCCAACTCTCCCCTGAGAATATACATTGTATACTTTTTTCCCACTATTTACCCCTAGTCTAGACCAGTATGCTCTTCCCTATTCCACCATCTTAGAATCTCAGCACTTTTATCAATCAAAGTACTTAACCTCTGAAAATACTTTAACTTCACCTCACTCTCCAAATGGCTACAACAAGTGGGGCTGGATCAGGCTGAAGCCAGGATATCAGAACTCTATCCATATTTCTCTCGTGGGTACAGGGCCCCAAACACTTGGTCCATCTTCTGCTGCTTTCTCAGAGACATTAGCAGAAAGTTGGTGGAAAAGTGGAGCAGCTAGGGATTGAACCAGTGGTCATTTGGGATGCTGGCATCATTGGTGGTGGCTTAACAGGCTGTGCCACAATGCCAGCCACTCATTTTACTCTTAAACTGATCTTTTCAGTGCAGCGGGTCAGTACACATGAAATCATTTTATTGTACCTTCATTATCTTCCTTTCATGGAGGTCAGAATGATGAAGCAACTTCCCCAATGTCACACATTTATAATGTTAGGATCAACAAGGAAACTCAAGTTTGATTCTGAAGCACCATATTAAAATTTATTTATTTGAAAGGGAAAGCAACAGTGAAGGGAGGGAGGGAGAGAGAGAGAAGAATGGGAAGAAGAATGAGCATGAGAGAGAATGAATATTAATATTCCATCTGCTGGTTCACTCCCCAGATAGCTCCAGTAGTCTATTCTGGGTCAAGCCAAAGTCGAGGCTGGAACTCTATCCAGGTCTCCCACATGGCTGGCAAGGGTCCAAGTACTTTGGCCATCTTCTGCCTTTCCAGGTGAATTAGCAGGAAGCTGGATCAGAACCAGAGCAACCGAGACTCAAACTGGGGATCGTATGGGATATGAGCATCTCAAGTGCCTTAACCCGCTGAGCCACAATGCTGGCTCCCAAAAGCACCATTTTTAACCATGATGTTGTAATGCTAATATATATTACTGTTTTCCCTGTTATTCAGGATCTATAGCCATATATAATGTTATATATATATTATAAATATTATATAATTTTATATATATTTAATCTTTAATAACCAATAGGAAAGTTGGGTGGTATAATATCTTAAGTGCTTTCATTAAACTGTGGCAAATTTATAGTGTATGATTTTTTTTCTCATATATTTTATTCCATGAATAACAATCTAAACTCTTAGCCATTGCTTGGAGAACTAATTTCCAATTTGTTAGGAATCCCTTCTGGGTCTCCTCTGAGTCTTGCTAGGTTCTCCATGGACTTCTGCTTTGTGGGTGATTGTACAGTCTCTGCAGTGTTAGGAGTTACAAGAGCTGTTACTTCTCATTCACACATTTATTCAACGGTTATGGGTCAGGTCCATGGTTTAATACAGAGATTTAAAGGCAGAGCCCCGCTCTAGCAGAGACCACATGGCTGTCTACAAAAACATTTCCCCTTCTACCTAGCTGTACCACTGTACTACTTTTACCTGTCCCTGTTGAAACAGGTGATGGCCAGTGGCTTGTGGGTAGAGGCCATGGGTGGCACCCTCAGACATGGCCCATCAAATTTCCTTCCCTTTTTTCCAGATGGACATGCACTGAACTAGCTGAGCCACAGATGGAATTTGAGACCCTGACTCATGCTTGGAGTAGAGCCACTTGATAATTAGGAACATCTGTTTTGAACTTCTTATGGGAAAGAAATAGGAGGGGATTTCAAAAAGCTTGTGGAAAACAATTTAGAGACAAGTTTATTTTGGTGAAAAACTTTTTTTTTTGAAATTCATAGATCTTTTTATGAACTTTTTGTAGACCTCCTGCAACTCTGTGTTGTAGGAAGTTATCCTTACGTGGAAGTTTTTCTCCTACAGCACATAGTATTGGTCAAATTATTACACTGTACTCAAAACTAAATAGGAAAATGGATTTTAAAAACCACTGTGTAGCACTGACAATGCACCTGGAGAAGCAACAGAAAATGACCCAAGTACTTGGGCCCCTGCTACCCACATGGGAGATCTTGTATGAAGTTTCTGGTTCCTAAGTTCAGCCTGGCCCAAATCTCACTCTTGTAGCTATTTGGGGAGTGAACCAGCAGACAGAAGATCTCTCTGCCTCTCTCAGTCTCTCTCTCTCTCTCTGACACTTTGCCTTTTAAATAAATAAATAAAATCTTAAAAAAAAAAAAAAACAGTGGAGACTCGCCTGCTCCACTTCCGACCCAGCTCCCTGCTGTGTCCTGGGAAGGTAGTAGAAGATGGCCAAGTCCTTGGGCCCCTGCACCTGCATGGGAAGACCCCAAGTAAGCTCTTGGCTCCTGGTTTCAGAACCACGCTGCCCGGCCGTTGCAGCCAACTGGGGAGTGAACCAACGGATGGAAGACCTCTCTCTATCTGCCTCTCCTTCTCGCTCTGTGTAACTCTGACTTTCAAATAAATAAATAAATCTTAAAAAAAAAAGAGATGGCATTCAATTGTGAGTTAAATGTCCCCCAGGTAGAAAGAGCTATCTTAAAATCTCTGAAGACATCTTTATAAGACAGGAACTAGGAGTATTTTTACTTCTTTGTTTTGTGAATTAGTAGTGAAGAAAATAAGCCAATCACATAGGAAACAGTTCTTTGTAGACTATCTTTGGATGCATGTTGCTTCATTCCCATTACTGAACTGGTTCACTGACAAGTTTTTGCTTTTAAAATTAAAAATTTAAAGAAAATGAAATATCTGGTGCTGTGGAATGTGCTTCCCTGAAATTTATGTGTTGGAAATGTCACTCAAATCCATATGTGAAGGGAACTTGGAGGGGAGCCATTGTGAGATGATTAGGGTTAGATGAGGCTCCCGTGGCGGCATTTGTGACTTCATAAGTAGAGAAAGGGAGACTGGGGCTGGCATGGCTGCTCTCTTTCGACATGCAATATCCTCAGCCATGTGATGATAGCATGAGGCCCCCACTGGTGGCTGAGCAGATGCCAGTATTGTGCTGTTGGGTTTGCAGATTCTAGAACCATGAGCCAGATAAATGTCTATTCTTTCCAAACTAGTCAGTCTCAGATATTTTGTTAGAGCAACAGCAAATGGATTAAGACACTTGCCTTTTACCACCACTGATTTTCTGTTGTTATTTTAGTCATCCATAAAACTATTTTTTTTTCTATTTTGTCTCTACCACTGTGTGTTTAAACTAGATTGTCTGGGGTGGGTGTTACGTGCAACAGGTTCAGCCGCAACTTGAGACACCTGATCCCCTATCAGCGTCCCCGGGAACTGAGTACCACCTTTGCTTCCTACTAATGAGCTTCCTGGAAGGCAGCAGTTAAAAGCTCTTTTTGTTTTAAGTCTTTGCTAGAGTCATTTTAAAGTGGACCCATTGATCAACTGAAACTAAGTACCTTTTTGGATTGGCTTTTTAAATTTTTAGATGAATGTTTTTACATAAATGATCATTTGAGTCTGCTTTCTAAGTTTACTTATTATTTATCTTTCATTTATTTGAAATAAAAATAAAATAAATAGTGAAATAAAAAAGAGAAACAGAATGAGAGTTTCCATCCACTGGTTTACTCCAAAATGCCTGTAACAGCTGTGTCTGGCAGGAACCAAGAACATCTTCTGGGTCTCCATGCAGGTAGGCAGGACCCAAGTACTTGTGCCATACATTAGCAGAAAGCTGGAGTTGGGAGCAGAGCCAGGATTTGGACTCCGGCATTCATGGGATGTGGGTGTCCCATGCATGTCTTAGCTGCTGTGCCAAACACTTGCCCTGTTTTTATTCCTGAGACTGCTTTTATTCCTTATTTTATCTGCATATGAATCTAACAACAGCTGCCCTAGAATTCACTTGGACTTAAATGTTTAACCAGTGTATATGTTTAATCTCACCTATTTATTTCCCATTAATTTTTTTTATTTATTTTTACAGGCAGAGTTATAGAGAGAGAACGGTCTTCCTTTTCCATTGGTTCACCCCCAAAATGGCCACTGCGTCTGGCGCCCTGTGCCGATCCAAAGCCAGGAGCCAGGTGCTTCCTCCTGGTCTCCCACGCAGGTGCAGGGCCCAAGGACCTGGGCCATCCTCCACTGCACTCCCAGGCCATAGCAGAGAGCTGGACTGGAAGAGGAGCAACTGGGACAGAATCCGGCGCCCAACCAGGACTAGAACCCGGGGTGCCAGTGCTGCAGGCAGAGGATTAGCCAAGTGAGCCGTGGCGCCGGCCTACTTCCCATTTATTATCTATGTATTCTTTCTCTGCCTGTTGTCTGTGTTTTTATTTTTTTTAAGTCAAAGCAACATCTGTGTCCTACTCGGTGTGATTTGTATTGTAGAGATTTAATAAATAGCTTATGATCAATTTTATTTGCTCTGTTAAAAAGTTTACATTTACTACTAAGTTAAATTATGTTTCTGATTATTGCAATAAAGATTCGAGCTCAGGGTATCCTTCAGATTTCTATGTTTATACGATAGAAGGATTTCCTATTGCTGTTTATATTTTGCAAAAACTAGCTACCTATTCCAAAGCTTATGTTTTCCAGGAATATATTGGATTTTTATTGGAGCAATAATTAGTGCACTTCACATTTTCCAACTCGGGCAGTAATTTTTTCCTTCAGTATCTAGTTTTTTTTTTCCTCCTTTCCTGGAGTATTTTATGATAGATATATCATAAATCTCACTGTTTCAGCCTCTGCGAGTTTGCCGGCCTGTGGTGTTCAGTTCCATTCACCTTCTGTGCAGCAATCACCACCCTTCCTCTCCAGAACCTTTTCATCTTTCCCAGCTGAAATTCCGTGTCTGTTCGTCACTAACTCCCCATTAATCCCTCCCCACTCTCCCTGACAACCAGTGTTATTCTTTCCGACTCTGAATTTAACTACTCTAGCCTCCTCATCTAAGTGGAATCATGGAGTATTTGTTCTTTTGTGAGCAACTTATTTCCCTTAGTACATCTTCAAGCTTGATCCATATTGTTGCACATGTCAGATTTTTCCTCTTTTTTAAAGGCAGAATACTGTTCCATTGTATGTGTACACAACATTCTGCATGTGGGTACTTGGGTTTCTTCAACCTTTTGATGATTATGGATTTTCCTTTCCTTTTCAAGATACATCTTTCCCCTATGTCGTAGATTTGAAAATGAACATTTATTTTGCATTGTAATATCTCCAAAAATCAGGATCTTTCAAAAACGATTAGAGAAGTAGAGAGACACAGAGAATGCTTCTTTTTCCCCCCCAGAAACCTTTTATTTAAGGTAAACAAACTTCATGAATTTTGTAACTACAACTTTAGGAACATAGTGACAGTGATTCTTCTCACTGTATCCCCACTCCCTACATTGTTCCTCTTCCCTCTCCTGTTCCCATTCTTATTTTTTTTTACCAAGATCTATTTTCAATTAAGTTTATACATAGAAGATTAACTCTATACTAAGTAAAGAGTTCAATAAATAGTGTAAAAAAGTATTCCTCAACAGTTTTTTGATTTTTCTTTTGATTTCTTCTATGACCCACTGTACATTCAGGAGCATGTTGTTCAGTCTCCATGTGTTTGCATATGTTCTAGAGATTCCTGAGTGTTGATTTCCAGAGTAATTCCATTGCGGTCAGAGATGATGCATGGTATGATTTTGATTTTTTTGAATTTGCTGAGACTTGCTTTATGGCCTGGCCTGTGGTCTATCCTAGCAAAAGTTCCATGCACTGGTGAGAAGAATGTATATTCTGCAACCTTAGGATAGGAACTTCTATACATATTCATTAGGTCCATTTGGTCTGTAGTATCAATTAACTATTGTTTCCTTGCTGATTTTCTGTCTGGTTGATCTGTCCATTGTTGAAAGTGGGATATTGAAGACCCCATTAGTATCGTATGGAAGCCTATGTTGCCCTTTAGATCCTTTAACATTTCTTTTAAATATCCAGATGCCCTGCAATTAGGTGCATACACATTTATTATAATCACATCTTCATGTTGAATTGATACCTTAATCATTGCATAATGCCCTTCCTTATCTCTTTTAACAATTTTCTTTTTGTTAAAGTCTATTTTGTCTGATATTAAGATGGCTACACCAGCACGTTTTTGGTTTCTGTTAGTATGGAATATCTTTTTCCATCCTTTCACTTTCAGTCTGCATGTAACTTTGTTGGTGAGATGTGGTTCTTGCAGCAGCAAACAGATGGGTCTTTTTTTAATAGAAAGCTTTTATTTAATAAACATAAATTTCACAAGTACAACTTTTGGATTATAGTGGTTCTTCCCCCATACCCACCTTGCTGCCCCCAAACCCTCCCACCTCCTATTCCCTCTCCCATCCCATTCTTCATTAAGATTCATTTTCAATTATCTTTATATACAGAAGATCAACTCTAAGTAAAGATTGCAAAAGATTGCACAGACACACAAAGTATAAAGTACTGTTTGAAAACTAGTTTTACTGTTAATTCTCATAGTACAACACATTAAGGACAGAGGTCCTACATGGGGAGCAAGTGCACAGTGACTCCTCTTGTTGATTTAACAATTGACACTCATATGATGTCAGTGATTACCCGAGGCTCTTGTCATGAGCTGCCAAGACTATGGAAGCTTCTTGAGTCCACAAACTTCGACATTATTTAGACAGGGCCATAATCAAAGTGGAGGTTCTCTACTCCCTAAGAGAAAGGTACCTCCTCCTTTGGCCCCTTCTTTCCACCGGGATCTCACTCACAGATATCTTTGATTTAGGTTATTTTTTGCCACAGTGTCTTGGCTTTCCATGCCTGTGAAACTCTCATGGGCTTTTTGGATAGATCTGAATGCCTTACGGGCTTATTCTAAGGCCAGAGTGCTGTTTAGGGCATTTGTCATTCTATGAGTCTGCTATATGGCCTGATTTCCATGTTAGATTGTTCTCTCCTTTTTTAATTCTATCAATTATTATTAGCAGATACTAGTCTTGTTTATGTGATCCCTTTGACACTTAATCATATCTTTATGATCAGTTATGAACTTAAACTGATCACTTTAACTAGTAATATGGCATTGGTACCTGCCAACTTAATGGGATTTGGAGTCCCATGGCAAGTTTTAGCTTTACCCTTTGTGGTAAGACTGAGGGAACATGTGCCAAACTGTATATCTCCTCCCTCTTTTATTCCCGCTCTTATTTTTAACAGGAATCAATTTTCAATTGGATTTAAACACCAAAGAATAATTCTCTGTTAAGTAAAGTGTTCAACAAGTTGTATTAAGTAGAAAAAGAAAATACTAAAAAGAATAAAATAGTAAGCTGTTCCTCTACATGACAAGGGATGGTCAAGTCATTGCTTCTCATAATGTCAGTTTCACTTTTAAAGGTTTCATTTTAGGTGCTCGGATAACAGTCACAGATTGGGGGAACATATGATATTTGTCCCTTTGGGACTGGCTTAGTTCATTCAGTATGATGTTTTCCAGATTCCTTCATTTTATTGAAAATGACCTGGTTTCATTTTTTTTACTGCTGTTTAGTATTCCATAGAGTACATATCCCATAATTTCTTTATCCAGTCTTCCATTGACAGGCATTTAGGTAGATTCCACATCTTAGCTATTGTGAATTGAGCTGCAGTAAACATTGAGGTGCAGATAGCTCTTTTATTTACCAATTAAATTTCACTTGGGTAAATTCCAAGGAGAGGAATGGCTGGGACCTATGATAGGGCTATATTCAGATTTCTGAGGTTTCTCCAAACTGTTTTCCATAGTGGCTTTCCCAGTTTACATTCCCATCAACAATGGGTTAGTGTCCCTTTTGCCCCACATCCTCGCCAGCATCTGTTGTTAGTTGATTTCTGCATGTGAGCCATTCTAACTGGGATGAGTTGAAACCTCATTGTGGTTTTGATTTGCATTTCCCTGATTGCTAGTGATCCTGAACATTTTTTTCATGTGCCTGTTCGCCCTTTGGATTTCCTCTTTTGAAAAATATCTGTTGAGGTCCTTGGCCCATCTCTTAAGTGGGTTGTTTGTTTTGTTGTTGTGGAGCTTCTTGATCTGTTTGTAGATTCTGGTTATTAACCCTTTATCTGTTGCATAATTTGCAAATATTTTTCCCATTCTGTCAGTTGCCTCTTCACTTTCCTGACTGTTTCTTTTGCAGTACAGAAACTTCTCAATTTGATGCAATCCCAAATGTTAATTTTGGCTTTGACTGCCTGAGCTTCCGGGGTCTTTACCAAGAAGTCTTTGCCTGTGCCAATATCTTGAAGGGTTTCTCCAATGTTCTCTAATAATTTGATGGTGTCGTGTCGTAGATTTAGATCTTTAATTCATGTTGAGTAGATTTTTGTGTAAGGTGTAAGGTAGGGGTCTTGCTCCCAGCACCATTTATTGAATAGACTATCCTTGCTCCAGGGATTGATTTTAGATCCTTGATCAAATATAAGTTGGCTGTAGATGTTTGGATTGATTTCTGGTGTTTCAATTCTGTTCCATTGGTCTATCCATCTCTTTCTGTACCAGTACCATGCTGTTTTGATTATAATTTCCCTGTGGTATGTCTTGAAATCTGTTGTTGTGAAGCCTCCAACTCTGTTTTTTATTGTACAGGATTGCTTTAGCTATTCGAGGTTTCCTGTGCCTCCATGAGAATTTCAGCATCATTTTTTTCAGATCTGAGAGGATGTCTTTGGTATTTTGATGTTTATTACATTGAATCTGTAAATTACTTTTGGAAGGATTGACATTTTGATGATATTGAATCTTCCAATCCTTGAACATGGAAGATTTTTCCACTTTTTTGTATCTTCTTATATTTCCTTCTTTAAAGTTTTGTAATTCTTATCATAGAGAGCTTTGACATCCTTGGTTAAGTTTATTCCAAGGTATTTGATTGTTTTTGTAGCTATTGTGAATGGGATTGATCATAGAAGTTCTTTCTCAGCCATGGCATTGTCTGTGTATACAAAGGCTGTTGATTTTTGTGCATTGATTTTATATTCTGCTACTTTACCAAACTCTTCTATGAGTTCCAATAGTCTCTTAGTGGAGTTCTTTGGATTCCCTACATAAAGAACCATGTCATCTGCAAATAGAGATAGTTTGAGTTCTTCCTTCCCAATTTGTATCCCTTTGGTTTCTTATTCTTGCCTAATGGCTCTGGCTAAAACTTCCAGTACTATACTGAATAGCAATGATTGGAGTGGGCATCCCTTTCTGGTATCAGATCTCAGTGGGAATGCTTCCAACTTTTCCCCATTAAATAGATTGCTAGCCTTGGGTTTTATAAATTGCCTTTGTGGGGAGCAACTCGGACTAGACTAAGTTACTGGAATTAAGACTTATTCTATGCATCTGCTCTCCCACAATATGGCGCTGGGAGAGGAGAA